GGTCTTTGAGTTCAAATTGAGCTGCTAGAAATTTCTTCAAGGTGTTCAATTCCTCAATATCATCACCTGTAAGAATTATATCATCTACATATACAATAAGAATAGCAATTTTACCATCCTTAGAGTGTTTGTGGAAGAGAGTATGATCAGTCTGTGCTTGCCTCTTCTTTTGACTGCTTGTGTGAATTTGTCGAACCATTCTCTGGGAGATTGTTTCAATCCATATAGAAACCTTTTTAGTTTACACACTGATCCATTTCCCTTTTCAAAACCAGGTGGAGGATCCATATAGACTTCTTCATGTAAGTCACCATTTAGGAATGCATTCTTCACATCTAACTGTTGCAGAGGCCAATCTAGATTGGCAACAAGAGATAAGAGAACTCAGATGGTATTGACTTTAGCAACCGGAGCAAAAGTCTCATGATAATCTATCCCATGAGTCTGAGTGAAACCCTTTGCAACCAATCTTGCCTTGTATCTGTTGATGCTATTATCTGCTTTGAATTTTATTGTAAACACCTATTTGCATCCTACTGCCTGTTTTCCTTTGGGTAGGGTCACTATCTCCCAAGTTCCATTTCTTTCTAAAGCATTCATTTCTTCAAAGACAGCATCCCTCCATTTTTGATCATTGAGAGCCTCATGTATATTTCTCGGTATCTTTGTACTATCCAACATAGTATTGAAAGCACGAAACCCTGGGGACAACTTTCCATATGAAATATGATTAGAAATAGGATGAGTAGTACAAGATCGAGTACCTTTTCTGAGAGCAATGGGCAAGTGTAGATCATTTTCACCATGACACTCAAGTATTGGGGTGCTGGAACTAGAACATGGTTCAGAATCCTGGCAGTGTAGAGGCTCTGGGTTATTCACACTTTGAGGAGGCTTTCGCCTGCTATAAACTTGTCCCCATTTTGAGGAGGGTCTTGATGGTGAGGATTCTGTAGCTCCCCCTGTTTCCAAAAGTAGAGGTAATACCGTGGCATCAGTAGGTTCCCATGACTGATCTTCATCTACTCCTATAGACTCCCCCTGAAGAGAAGTCGAGGGGAAGAAAGGGTCATTCTCAGAAAAAGTGACATCCATAGAGACAAAGACCTTACGAAGAGAGGGTGAATAACATTTATAGCCACGTTGAGTAGGAGAATAACCAATAAAGACACACTGAAGAGACTTAGGATCAAGCTTAGACCGTTGATGGGAGGGAATATGGACAAATACAACGCAACCAAATAACTTGAGAGGTAAGGAGGAGACACCTCGGAAGGAAGGGAAGATACGAACAATATTAGAAAGAGGAGACTGAAATTTCAGAATGCGAGATGGCATTCGATTTATCAGATACGAGGCAGTGAGAACTGCCTCTCCCCAAAGATATTTAGGAACACTCGTGGTAAACATAAGAGTCCGAGCAACTTCAAGGAGATGTCGATTTTTTCTTTCCGCAACTCCGTTTTGTTGGGGTGTGTCAGGACACGAGCTTTGGTGAAGGATGCCATGTTGGGAAAGATATTCTCCAAGAATAGAGTTAAAATACTCTTTGCCATTATCTGTACGAAGAATTTGTATAGCAACTTGGAATTGGGTTTGAACCATGGCATGAAATTTTTTAAACACGGATGCAACATCGGACTTATCCTTTAGAAGATACACCCAACAAACTCGAGAATGGTCATCAATGAAGGTAATGAACCATCGAGTACCTGAAATATTTTTAACACGGGCTGGACCCCATATGTCACTATGAATTAAGGAAAATGGGGAAGAGTCATGGTGAACTTTAGAAGGATAATGAGCACGAGTATGCTTGGCAAGTTGACAAATATCACAAGAAAACAAACTTGGACTTTTATTAATAAATAAGTTTGGCAACAACTTCTGAAGATAAATAAAATTTGGATGGCCTAGCCTACGATGCCACAGCATAACATCATTACATGAATCAAAAGGAAACATATAATTTTTTTCTACGAAAACAGCTTCATGAGTCACATCCTCCTCAAAGTAGTAAAGTCCACCATCCTCTCTAGCACTGCCAATCATCCTCTCCGAGTCCTGTTCCTGAAAAACACAACTATGTGGAAAGAATTTAGCAAAGCAATGCAACTCAGAGGTGAGCTTGCTAATGGAAATGAGATTACAAGTCAGAGAAGGAACATAAAGAACTGATGTCAAAGTAATCAGCTCAGAAAGTTTAATGGTTCCGTGTCCCGCAATCTGGGAAAAACTGCCATCGGCGATCTTGACCCGAGAAGGTTCAGAATATGGAGTGTATGAACAAAACAAGCCAAGATTACCTATCATATGATCAAGGATCCAATGATTTTGACTATCAACATGGAAAGCTGTACCTTGCTGGACCACATGACTAGTGGCCTTAGGAAGGGGTGATGAGGAGGCGGAAGATGAGGAGGCGGAAGATGAGGAGGCGGAAGAGTGTTTTGAGGAAGCCATGAATAGAAGAGAAGGGTTGACCGTTGATGAAAAATCAAGTTTTGTAAATTTTTTATCTGACCTCTGGAACAGGAAGGGGAGAAGCCGGCGAGAAGGTCTGTGCAAGTCGCGGCGGAAAAAGACGTTGGGAAGGCGGCGCGTGGAGCTCACGCGCCGGAGACTGGCCGCGCGTGTGACGGCGCGTGCGGCGGTTGACGGCGATGGGTCCAGCGGCGGTCGACTCGTCGGATCCTTCTGAGTCGAATGGTCACCTCACTTTCTTGATCGGAGGTCAGTAGACTAGGTTTCTGTGTTGGACAGATTCAAGGAGGTGTTTAGGAGGTGTTTGACTGTGATGGAAGTGTTTGGATGGTTATTTTAGATTTGAATTAGGGTAGGAACAAACCCGCTTTGATACCATATAGAAAAGAAGTTTTTGTATATTGATCTTGAATAATTTACATGAGTGAGTATTTATACAAGAAAGAATCGCTAAGAATGACTAAGCGATGACTAATCAATCCTAATCACAATCAATTCTAATCAATCACAATCAATCCTAATCAATCATAATCAATCCTAATTAATAGGAAATAAAAACGGAAACATGTTTGAATTCTGATTTTCTACAATATATATATATATATATATATATATATATATATATATATATATATATATATATATATGAGATTTATATTTCTCGAGCCGCTTGACATCCAGCAGTCAATTATTCACCCTATATATAGGTGACAACATTAAATGTGAGGAATCATAACTATATTCCTATCATTATTAGACGTTAAGCGACTGAAGAAATGATTTTATCGATATATATATATATATATATATATATATATATATATATATATATATATGGGTTTACATTTCTACAGCTGTTATACGTGCAACAATCAAATACTTGCCATATATATACTTGAAAGCATTAAATGTAGGTAATCGTAATCATACAAAGGATGAAAGCATTAAATGTAGAGAATCATAACCATACACCTGTTGTTGCTGTATGTAAAGCGGCTGCAGAAATAATTTTACATTATATATATGGGTTTATTATTTTTCATATTCTAAAAGATAATTTTATCTCCTATATACATATGAAAGCATGTGGGGCCCATTTTTCTCTATTCTCTTCATATTGGCCCTACATGGGCTCCATACACTTTTAGGTGTACGTAGAAGATAAAAATACAAGACTTAATGTTTCTCTTATTGTAAGAGATAAATTTTATCTCTTACATACACATAAAAGTGTGTGAGGCCATATGAGGAAAAGAGAGAGAAAGATAAAACATGGGCTCCAGACACTTTTATGTGTGTCTAAGAGATAAATTTATCTTTCATAACATGAAAAATACTAATCCCGTATGTGTGTGTATATATATATATTCTATCTATCTCTTTTTTCACTTATTTTGCTTACCACTTTCCAACACTGTTAGATTATAATATCAACAATCTTTATTATTTTTCTCTTGTATTGAGATTCTTATATAAATAGTATTGAAAAATAATAGATAAAAGATAGACAGAAAAAAAGATAACTAAAATAATTTATCGTTATATATATATTGGAAACATGGATTATCCTCATTTTTTCCATTTGGCTGTTTGGAAAACACATGTAATCTGGCATCTTTGAAAAATATGTATCCATTTTAAATTTTTTTTGGGAAACACGGATTATTCTCATTTTTCCATTTGGCCGTTTGGAAAACACGTGTAATCTGGCATTTTTGAAAAGTATGCATCCATTTTAATTTTAGTACATGCAAAACAGATTATTCTCATTTCCTTTGTCAAATCAAAGGCAGTACATATCTAATTAACTCATTTTATACTTAAAATAATGGGTAAAAGATTTTTCAGTTAACAGAGATAAATTATTTTTAGTAAGTTCAAAATGATATCATTTTAAGGAGAAAATTAAGATGTTTTTGTAATTTTAATATATTGTAGGGTTATATTAGTCTTTATTATTATAACATTTTTAATTTTATAATTTCAAAACGACGTCATTTTGAGCTTATCGAAGATAACTTTATTTCCGGTGACAAGGAAAAATACTTTTTCCTAAAATAATTTAAAATAAAATTTTGGATTATGTTTATCTTATTTTACATGAGATAAATAACTTTTCTACACATGCAAACAATGATGGAGTCCCACCACTCTTTTTTTTTCTTCTCTTATCTGTGGGTCTCATTTATAATTTTATTTCTACAACTTGAGGTAATTATTTTTTTACAATATAAGAAAAATATTTCCTTAAAATTTTATTCAAAACTCTAAAATTAAAATTAATAATAAAAAACTTAATATCCGCGTAGGGTATATTCTAGAAAATGGCAACTTTTCTAAACTCCCCTTCTTGATCCTTTGAAATGGCACCCAAACAAAATTTGAAAAGCACGCAACGGCGTTGTATTTCCGTAATAACCGATGAAATCGAGGGCACTTTAACATCTGCCCCTTTTCCTTCGCATTCACGCTTGCTTCGCATCTAAGCCATAAAAAGCAAACACACACACACACTTCTTCTGTTCTCTCCAACGCTTTTCTGTTTCTACAACAGAAGAACGAAGCCTCCTCGTTCTTCTTTTCAGCACTTTCTCTCTCTAGAACCAGAACCATCGCTCATTTCTCTCTCTCTCTCTCTCTCTCTCTCTCTCTACAACGAACAAGACCTTGTTCGCTTAATCAATCTCGCGGTGGTGTTGTTGGTGCTGCGGTTGTGGTTCCGGCCATGGGACAGCAGTCGTTGATCTACAGCTTCGTGGCTCGCGGCACCGTGATCCTCGCCGAGTACACCGAGTTCTCCGGTAACTTCACCGGCGTGGCGGCGCAGTGCCTCCAGAAACTCCCTTCCTCCAACAACAAGTTCACCTACAACTGCGATGGTCACACCTTCAACTACCTCGTCGATAATGGATTCAGTAACTACTCTCTCTCTCTCTCATTCTCCTTGTTTCGCTGATCTGTATCCATTTTCTGATTTTGCTGTGTCTTTTCTTCGATTTGGATATATGTTGTTCGTTTCTCTTTGATCTGCGTGGAGAAAAATGGCACAAAAATGGAAAACCAGAAATGGCCTTTGGTATTCGGTGTGCGTTACTTAATGTGATTAGGTTAACGCTTGAGATCTATTCTCATTTTTTAAATCTTCGAATGATTTGGTTGTCAGAATATGAAAAGTAAAAGTTGGAAAACGTAGTAATAAGTCTATGTAACTGAAAATTGAATCGTTTACGTTGTTGTTCTTATAGTCATATCTTGTAGTTTCTTGCGTTGCATTGATGTAGTTGTTCCATTTTTTACTAGCTTATGGCGTAATAACATCAACATTATTTGTTAATGGAAAATTTAAATTTTGAAAAACTTCTTTTAATAGGCTATTGAAAAGGAAGATTGTGGGGAAATTTTTTGTTTTGCAAGGGTTGGATTATAAATAATTTAAATTCTCAGAACATGGAATGTATGCAATTATAAATGGTTAATTCTGGCTTTAATGCTAAAAGCTTGGTTCTGTTTTTAGAATTTGCTGTTTTCTCTTTGTGATAATTTGTTTTCCTTTTTGTACTGAAGTTACAATCACCATTAGTTGGAACTAACTTATAGTATATTGAATATTGTAGCTTACTGTGTTGTTGCGGTTGAGTCTGCTGGACGGCAGATTCCAATTGCTTTCCTTGAACGCATCAAGGAGGATTTTACCAAGAAATATGCTGGAGGAAAAGCTGCAACAGCGGCTGCTCAGAGCCTCAATAGAGAGTTTGGGTATTTACGTGTGCTGCAATTTTATATTCCTAATTTGCTATAATGACTTCCATTATTGTGAAACCTTTGTTGTTCATGATGTAGACCTAAGTTGAAGGAGCAGATGCAGTACTGTGTTGATCACCCTGAGGAGATTAGCAAGCTAGCTAAAGTGAAAGCTCAGGTTTCGGAAGTCAAAGGAGTTATGATGGAAAATATCGAGAAGGTAAAGCACTTATCATCTTACCTCCCCTGTTGCCAGGAAACTGTGCAAACAGATTTTTATTTTTATTTTTATTTTTGCTGGGGGTAGATTGTAAACGTTTACCTGAAGCTAAAATTTCCTGTTAGTCTACCTTTTCTTTTCCGGGCATAGATGGAGGGGGTCAAATTTAAAGTAATATAATCGCATGAGTGTGACTGATAGGTTGCTGTAACATTTATATCTTATTTGGCAGGTTCTCGACCGTGGGGAGAAAATTGAGCTTTTGGTGGATAAAACAGAGAACCTACGCTCTCAGGTCTGTTGGATGCTACTAATGCTTATTAAGATAAAATGAAAATTAGTAGATTGTTATAGATGGACTGGAACCCCCCTATCCCTCTTTTTTTGGTGTAAAACAATTGTATACTTCAGTTATGGTGGTTTATTCTTGTTTTTCTTTATTTTTTCACCTTGTAACATTGAATCTGATTCATATTATGTTTGCAGTGACTTTCTTAGTACAGAACATTTAAATCTCAAAAGCTTGTTGTCCCAGTTATATTTTATTTTTTTAAAAATTTGTTACTTATCTTTTTTATAACTTGTAAATTCATATAATTTTGCAGGCACAAGATTTCAGGCAACAGGGAACTAAGATTAGGAGGAAGATGTGGTTCCAAAATATGAAGATAAAGCTCATAGTTTTGGGTATCATTATTGCCTTGATTCTCATTATCGTTCTTTCCGTTTGTGGTGGCTTCAACTGTGGTAAATGAGTCTTCTCACTAGATAAGATTGTCGTTAGCAGATTTCCCTTGCCTCTTCTGTTGACGTAGTTCTTTTGACCTACTTTTTGGGATTTACATTCATCCTACTTCGATGATCAATATTATATGACATTACTTGTATAGTGTGTAATGCTTTAATCTTCCTCGACTTGTCTTCCATAGTGTAATGCTAATTTTCCTTAGTTTAGGTGGGAGTTAAGCATTTGGTTTGAGGATTATGATATTTTTCCATCTATGCTTAAATATTGAAAACCAACCATTGGAGTTAAAGCATTTGGTTTGAGGATAATGATATTTTACCATCTATGCTTAAATATTGAAAACCAACCATTGCTTAGTTGAGCTTCCTATTACCATTTTTCTGCTTAGGCGTGGGATGATATGTGCATTTTTTTGTCTGAACGTTTATCCATTTCCACTGAGCTCCGCATATGTGCTATTCTAAACGCAGGCAGTTTGTTTTAACTGGTAGTGTATTAACAACTTTTAATTCATTCATTTGCTGCTCTGCTCGGATCAGCCGAATGAAACATGCATGCTGGTTATATAATAAGCCCAAGTTTGTACAAAAAAAAAAAGCCCAAGTGAATGCCTTAGGTTTCAATATCCACATGCATAAACTTAAATAATGTAAGGGAAAATTATTTTTGTTTGTTGTAGACAAAATTTATCGGTTATATTTAGGTAGAAGTGAGTGACTTTCATTATAAAATGAAGAGAAAAATAAATAAATAATGTATGACACACATTTCTTTTGCAGGAAAAATAAAAATATTTTGAACACATGATGTAATCCACACGCATAAGTAAAATTGCAATGCCTTATCAATCTTGGTTAAACTATGTAGTTTCTTGAGATGAAATGAGGATGTGAGTCATTGTCGTCAAAAATTAGTCTAAAAACGTAGAAAAGGTAGAAATGTAGTGTAAAAATATGTTAAAAATGGTAGAAACATAAAAATGAGTAAAAATACTGCGTAGAAACTTAAAAGCGGTAGAAACATATGTTTTTTGCGTTTTTACTTAAAACTCAATTTTTTTAATTTTTGAAATACTTTATTTTTCATTTTTTTTAAACTCAATTTTTTCTTTTTGTATTTTTAGACTTATGTCTTATATAGGTATGTGACTTATATTTTTTACGAGGTAGGATCCTTTGACACTAGTGTCAAATTTTAAATTTGACACTTCATTCTTTTTTGATCTAATGGTTTTCAGATGAGGTGTCAAATTTGAAATTTAACACTGGTGTCAAATGATCCTACTTTATTTTTTACATATGAAGTTATTCATTAAATTTTGAATAGTGTGTGAATTTTTTTACATGCATATATATAATTTTGTATCTTAACCTTAAATAGAAGAAATTTCACGTTTCGTGTTGTTTTTACTATTAACGTTTCTATCACCTGTTATGTAAAAACTCGATTTTGACAAACATCGGTGGGGTTACATATGCAAGAAACCTTTGCATTATTAAAGGCTATTTGTTTATTATATGTGTACGGTAATGTATTATACAGTACTAGATAAGATAAAATTTGACACTTCTAAAAATATTTTTTTAATTAAAAGTGTATAACATTCATTTATATTTGTTATGTTTAACAAATTTTAATAAATGATTGAAATTTTAGGGACAGATTGTCGATTAAAAAAATTGACTCGAGAAATAAAAATGGATTAGAATGAAAATAAATAAAATAAAAATATGATGAGATAATCATAATTAATGTATCTTCCCCGATTAATGCAAAGCCCCATTTCAAATTAGCCAGCAAAGTTCTAGTTGCAATTTCTAAGAATCACTTTTAAACTTGTCTTGAGAGGTCCATAGTAAATTGTTTTCTTGGAATAAATTTATCACTTGCTGGACGAGTCAATATGGCGAAAGCTGTTCTTGAGGCGCTTCTTGCATATTCAACGCAGTCAACAACATTGCCTAGTAGCATGTGCAAGGACCGACAAATAGAGAAGTTCTTGGGTCCAAGTCCTTCGCTACAAATATAAGGTAGATGCTGATCTCATCCCTAGATTAAATGTTAAATTCGTACAAGAGTTGCTCCACCGACCGGAACACTTAGAGGAGCTCTCATGTTAATCACTTTCATTCCTCTCATTAGACCATCTGTAGCACTCGTAGCTACAGCTCTCACTCGATTATTTCCTAATAATTGCTGTACTTCTGGAAATGTGTGTGTAAAGTGTGGAATCAGGTTCAAGCTGCATCCAGAATTCTTATTGGCAATGGTTGTAGCACAAATTTCTAGATGGATATATAATTGGGTTCCTGTGGAGCAGGGAGATTGATTGATAAAGTTATTGTACCTTTACTTGAGGAAGCCACAAGTTAGTAAATCATAGACTATACCACTCATGAGGGAAGCTGGCACTGGAAAAAATTTGAGCAGTATCTTGTGGAGGAAAGAGATGCATGCCATTGTTAATTTAGTGCTATCTTCATAATCTGTTGGAGATAATAAAGTTATTTGGAATCCCTCCCCAATGGGTACCTTCACTATGAAATTTTCTTATTCTATCTTAAGTTCCTCCCAAACAGATAATGATTGCAGAAATTGGTCCTTGGCCTGGGATTGGGATTTGGGAGGGTCCCCATAAAATTAAATTCTTTCTCTAGCTTCTCCTGGGGGAAAAATCTGTTCACCAAATGGTCAAGAGATCGAAGACGAGTGATGATGCATCTTATCCGAGATGCCAATTCCCAGTTGAAGATTGCGTGCATGTTTTGAGGAATTACAGCTGGGCTCATCAAGTTTGGAACTTCTTGATCAAAGGTATATAGTGACCAGAACCATTTCTTTAATGGGATCTTAGATGTTGTTGTTGGATTTGCTCTTTTACTAAAGCTCAAATGGGTTATTAGTATGAGAAGATCTCAAGGAACCTAGAGTCCAATGAGCTAGGGTTTCTTGGAACCCATATAAATAGTACCTCTTAAGTCATCAGCCTAAAAGGTCTTTCTTGTGAGAAAGAGGCAAGCTCAGAATCTAATCAGTGCCCACACACTTCCCCTTCCTCCTCGAGAGATAGTTTGGAAGATCTGCGACAGTCCAGCTTCAAGGAAGTTGTTCGTGCTGCGGCGCTGAGGTGAGCTGTTCGTGAAGAGGAATCCTACAAGGGAAGATTCTACACGAGACCTGCGCACCGAGAGGTAATTGTGAAACAAGGATGATTCGGTAAGCATACCAATGTACTAGGTCCTAAACCGCTTCCGCATAAATCTAAGATTTCCTACAATTGGTATCAGAGCCTTGACTGTACATTGGTATGTGAATCTAGTTTCACTATTCATGTAATTAGTTTTGCTTCTTGAAATGTGGCAGCTAGGGTTCTAGGATTATGGTATGAATCTAGCATGTGTATTTTATAATTCATTTTCATAAAAGTTTAAATTTTAATCGGTAAAAATGCTTTAATCCATGGTTAGGGTCTCTCGTGTATTTCTCGATTTGTAACAAGGAGGCTAATCCCATATGATTAGGTTTCCTACTTGCTGTTTTTATTTATTTTCGGAATTTCTGTGTATTTTTCCAATATTTTGTAAAAGTTAAAGATCGAGAAACCGCTAGGAAGATGCGCAGTCAGCACTGTCGGAGACTTTTCGAGGACTTACCGATCTCGGAATGGGGTGATCTATATATGGTTGGAAAGAGAACAGAAATACGAACGCAACGGTGGGTGGATCGCCACCATCGGAGACTCGACGCTCCGCCACGCGCCTCCACAAGAGGCTGAGAGTTGCCGCCACTCTCCGGCAAAGAATGGGAGAGTGAGGGAGCGTCCGACCACCTTTTTGGGTGGTTCCGGCGGCGGTGCACTCGTCTATACGTGGCGGTCCTTCCCCTGGAGTTTCAGCCTGATTTGACTTCGGGTGATGGCGCGGCAGACCTGACGGCTAGGGTTCATCTTTCGCGTCCTAGGGTTTCTCGCCAAAGGATTGGGTCTTTGGGCTATTGGGCCCATGAAACCTTAAAGGGGCTTGAGACATATACTATGGGCTAGGCGAAAGTCGAATTCCAAAGTTGTATTATTCAATTTAATTTAATTTAATTTTCTTTAAAATTAGAAGGCCATGGATTAAAGTAATTATGATTTATTATTTAATGCTTTTATATGATTGATAACATGCTTTATTGCGATAACATGCCATATAGAATAGGTGGTGCCATATTGTTGCATAACTTGTATGATTGCATGAGCATAATAGCTATTATGTCTTCAGCGACTAGTATGATAGTTATTATGACATTATTTTGATTTTAAATCATCCTAAGAAATTAATTAATAATTATTATGATTTTTATTAAAAATCTAGATTAATAATTGAATTAATTAATTTTGGATAATTAACATCAAGACAAATAATCGTTATGGAAATTATTTTGATTTCAAATTATCCTCATAAATGATAATTATTATGATTGTTGCAATCTAGATTAATAATTAAGTCAGCTATTTGGATGATTTAAATCTAGAAAAATAATTAGAGAAAATTTCCTAAGAGAATTCTTTTATTTTGCGAGTAATTTGTGGGTTTTCTGAAATGGTCATGGAATAACACACGCTGCATACAACATTCATGTATCATGATTGTTTGGAGCACACGCTGACGTAAAGTGACCGGATTTCAGGACCTTAATGCTTTCAAAATTATGTTAAGCTTAGTGCACGTTTATCGGCGCTCTTACTTATATAGTTTTTGAAATCAAACAAAGAATACTCTCAATTAAATAATTCTTGGAAATTAGAAAATGTTGCTTATGTTGAATGGAAAGAGATTTAAATTAAGAGATTAATTTAACCTTCAAGCGCATTATAGGACCATTAATAAAATAATCATGTGAAGTCCCATCGAATAAGCATGATTGGATTTTATTAGATTGGACTTAAATATCTATGGGAGGAGATTTAAATTAAGAAATTAATTTAACCTCCAGGCGCATTGTGGGCCTATCAATAAAATAATCATGTGAGGCCCCAACGGATAAGCATGATTGGATTTTATTGGGCCTTAATAATTTCAAAATTTTAATAAAAGTATTGTACGGCCCATCGTCGATAATACTAAGTTATTAAAGATAATTTTGAAATTAAACAATGAATTCGACTGGGCTTATGAAAATTCTCAAACAAAAATGTTGAATGGGTGAAGGTTTTAAAAATTAATTAATTTTAAAACCTGCGGGCTCCATTTGTGGGTTTATTAGTGAAATGGTTATCGCTGAAGCCCCATCGGATAAGGATAATCAGATTTCACTAGATTAAATCATAATAATTTCAAAA